AACGACGACTGCATTCACCACTCAGTCGCCTTCAACCATCTCAACAGAAAATGCCAATTTGTTAACGTCGACAGCTCCTATCTCAAATACAAACTCAACCGCACCGCCTCATCCACCTCTCCTACACCCACCTTCTGGAGGCGGTTCAACTGACCACATAAAAATGCGCAATTTGGTTATTGGAATAATTTGTCTGCTTCTTCTCAACTTGGTCACCTTCTCCTGTTTTGTGGTGGCATGTTGTTGGGCGTGGCGAAAGCTCAGTCGTCACCAAACCTCCGCCGATGGGGTTGGAAGTTACACAGCCAGTGGAACCTATGAAAAGCAAGGTAATTTATCACCTCTCTTTTCTCCCACTGAAGGCGCAAAGTCCTCTCTAATGGACTTGAATTTGGTTACTTTTTTTAGATTTAGGCTATCCATACTTTGACGACTACTTTTGGTGGCAGAAAGTTTACAATTTCGGTAATTGTAACGTTTGTTGATGTTGGTGGTGTTTTAGTAGAAAATGCATTTGTTTATATCACTTTCATTGTGCACAATAAGGCATTGGAGACCTTCACAATTGCCATGGTGGATTCATTAACCCTCCTTTCATCAGTTCCACTAACCACATCTAACTTTATTAATTCAACATGCACAATGCAAATATTACGTTTCGGGATGCAGATGAGTCATTTTTGCTGCTCTTGATTGAAGGCTGTGGAAGAGGTTAGTCGGAGTTTGAAGAGTGTCATGGAAAATCTAGTAGAGGTGGAGATTGTGATGTGATTGTTGTTGTTGTTGTTGTCGTTGTCGATGTTACTTTTGTTGTTGACGTCGATGTTGGACGCTTCACGGAGGGAAGTCCAAGAAAGAGCGGCTTCGAAGGCGAATTCAGCGACGCCCCTCCTCCTCCTCCTCCTCCTTCGTATGGAGATGATGGAAGTTGAATGGTCAAACTGTCTATCACACTGGGTTCGGCACCAACGAGCGTCATGAGGAGGAAGGGGAAAAAGAAGAAGAAGAAAATCCTACGCACCATCTTCCCCACTTCACATAGACGATTTCGATCTACAAGTGAAGAGGAAGGAGGAGGAGGAATGAGGGACGTTGAGGGTGGTGAGGGAGGTGGAACGATTGCGAGGTGCGGTATGCCACATCCACGACTCCTCGTCTTAGCACAACCAATGATCGCTGGTCTGTTCCGCTTTTGTGCGCGAATGTGTGCGTGTGTGGGTGGGTGGTGAGGAGGAGGAGGAGGAGGTGGTGGTGGTGGTGGTGGTGGCGGTGAGTTGCGCGTAATCGCAGTGGCTAAGTGAGTAGTGTGAGGAGGAGGAGGAGGCATGTGAGTAGTGACTGCAGAACAGACGAATGTCGAGCCATCAAGCGCGGTGGGTAGCGATCGTTTGTGGATGGACGGTAGTTTGGTGTGTTGAATGGCGCAAGGATCTCTTGTATCCACGTCCCCTCATTCGCCCGTCTCCATGCAGGCATGTAAAGTGATGAAAAAAGTCACTTTGATCGGTGGTGTTTGCGTATGAACCGAGCTGAGTTGCAACATGTCAGCCGACTCCACTTCACCCTGCTTCGCTTTAGCAATTCTTTGCATGCACCAAACACGAATTAGCTCCTCACCGAACAAATCCATGCCGACATTTGCAATTTTTTTGGTACACAAATGTGGCCTGTCCGATGTGCGGTACCGCCGTGTCCACATGCATAAGTACGCAATAATTGCCTTCACCATTTTCCCCTCTTTCTTTTGCAAACCATTTAACAACATAAAATCCCTCCCCTCTCCCACTGGCCCTCTCTACTCCGCTAAATGTCAGAAATTTAAATTAAACCTTTAAGAAACAGTTTCCCACCCTTTTACTGCAAGTAGCTGCCACTTGTGAAGGACCACATTTTCACCAAATACAATAAAAAAATTGCCAAAAATGACTCATAAAACACAGGTAGATGTTTAATTTATGTTTATTTTTCAGACAATGGTCGAGTTTTTTTGTTTTACTCTTGACTTTGGTGTATGAAGGTGTCCAAGTTTTATCCTCACTCTCAATCGCTCCACTGTCCCTTGCAATGCGGCGACCGTCGCCTATTCGATTGCAATGTGAGTAGCCTGAAACTGTCTTCAGCATCCCTCATTTGGCTTCTTTACACGTCTTCCATAAAGTAAATGCCACACATTTTTGCGTGAAATTGCGGGTTCTCTCATACCACCTACCAGTGTGGCACCACAAACTTCACACTTTTCATACCACCGAACTACAAACGCTAACTTTAAGCAGTGAAGAAAAAAAAAGTGAGGCAAAAACCCTCAATACTCATGGTGAGGAAATCGTTGTTGAAGTGCTGGTGTGTGGGATTATTTTCTTGCCCAGTGGCACAGACATGTAGACGAAGGAGTTGTTGGTATTTTTCTACCTTTCTACGGTGATTGACTTGCCGTTACATTCGTCTACACGATCACACACAGGCTCGGACAGCGCTACGACACTCGGAATCCACCCCGCCTTGCTCCACCTCTAAGTGTTCACACACTGTCATAAATTAGCACACAAAAAAAGTCCTATTCTTACTTCCTTCCTAAGAAAAATGTAAACTATGGACTTTTCCACACCAGTTGGGGATCGGTGAGTGAAAAAGAAGTTCGAGCGCTCAGAACGATGGGTGTGTTACAGCAAAATCGTTTTTCCCTCCACTTCACTTCACTTCCGCGCGCACGGATGGAAGGAAAGCGCAACGCTCTTTCCCACAGTCTATTGTGTTCCCATCAATATGCCTCCTGTACCGGCAAAATGTCACCAAATGCAAAAGTCCTGTGGTATTCGGTGGTGGAAGAGATATTCCTACGGTCGAAATCCTCCTCCTCCTCCTCCTCTATGTTCTACCCTTAGTTTCACTTAACCAGACACATAATTGTAGCATCATTTTGTTTGACTTTTCTCAATCTCTCACAATGAAGTAGTCCACAAATGTTTGTGAAATGTTAATTACAAAAACTGCAAACACACAAACACAAAATAACCAAATCTGGGTTCCTTTTTTCTCTAAGTGTGTGCACTCAAAGGAAACCGAAAGTCACCCCTCCTGTGACCTTGCCTAAGGCTCTTGCACTCTCCCATCAGGTGTGAGAGTGATTCACAATTGAACTCTCTTCACTTAAAAAAAGTACAGACGAACGAATGCTGACAGTAGTTTTATGCATTTGTGCAATAGCGAAGTCAAGCATGTGGTAATGTAAGTGACAAGTGATAAATCATCATACGATAGCAAAATCAGCAAGCTCATCTATACCAACATCCCAATGGGGCCGAAAAGTAGTGGTGAGTAATGAAAGTAATGCTTTAAAACTGAGAAACAACTCTTGCAAGGATAAAAGCAGTTAAAATAAATGCGAAAGCATTGGCTATGTATGCATTGTGATCAATAACAACATCATCAAGGGGATAGGAAGAGGCAAGAACCAAGCTGAACCAACCTTGGGAATGAATTGGTGGTGATCGTTGGCGAATACCTTGGCCCGCCCTGCCAACATGTGACATTTCCATATCACGAACTCAAGGCTGGAGATTATTGAATCCTCCATTCACCAATGTCCATTCGCCTTTGTTCTAATTGGCTAATGATTCATCCAATAGAAATCGCTGACATGCATGGTTGGTGTAATATGGATGCGTGATGTGTGCATGCGTACGTGCGCGTTATAGTGCCAGTGTGCGTTCACATTGGTGGTGTAGGCTTGTACACACACGAGCACAGGTTGGTGCCCACAAAGTGAGCAGATTGGCTCTTATGCTCGTTCAAAATCACCACTGACTAGTCAAGTGTGACAAGATGACTAATTTTATCGCAGAGAGATGCATGTGAAAGAGAAAGTAAAAGCGTAAACAAGTTCGTTGATTCCTCTCTGACTTAAGTTATTTCGTCAACACAGAAATAGTCTGATCTGCACTTTAACACAGACTAATGGAGGCCGAATGGCATAGATAACAGTCGGTGGGATTCATAATGCTTGCCTTTTTCGTGTTGCCGAGGTGGACTACCTCCAACCGACTTTAAAAGCTATCAATTTTTATATTTTTGTAAAAAATCATAGTTATTAGCATTGTTCTAGTCCTCATCCACCACTTTAATGCCTCCACTGGTAACTGTGACACTTGAGACGGGAGGTGATGAAGGGCAGTGCAGTGAACTGGTGTTTGTAGAACCTGTGAGCCCCTAAATCATCGTGGTTTTGGTGCTGCGTCATTAGCATGATGCGTGCTAACAGTTTCTACGCCAAAATATGTCCTCACACATGATGGTGTGTTACTTTGCCTCTGGGAATGCCTTGCGTTGAGGGCTACAGAGGTGTGCATGTTATGCAATGCAAATGGTTTTCTGTAATTCTACCCACTGATCTGCTCTTTTAACCTTGCTTTCTCAAGCAGGAAGGCAAGAGGTGTATTAAAGGTAATACCTTTACCAAAAAAGTTAAAATCACTCAGAATTTTGTTGAGAAGGTGGGAGAATTAAGTGAGTTGTCAAGGTCGGGAAGGGGAAGGGAGTGGAGAGGCTCCATCCGGGGGACCCCGGAGGCTCTCCCCCCCCCTTGGCACTGATGGACCAATGATACCACAGGCATTCAAGAGTGATTTGACCAAAAGGACTGAATGCCGCTTTAACAACTTGGATGGAATTTTTTGTTGTTTACGAGGAGGTGCATGTACCAAGTCCATTATTTATGCCTCTTCAGTTCTCTCATCTCCAAACCTCGCCTACCTTGACCATCACTGAAGCGGTGAAAACTCGTTTTATGAAATCAGCTGCAAGTTGATCCTCTCTCCGAGTCTGTGTTATCCCAACAACTCGGAGGTGTAGCTTACGGGTAAGTGTTTGGGGAGGTCAAATCAAAATTTGCACCTTTCAAGGGGGGCGAGAGGTAAGCAAATACCGGTCGGAAGGTCATTCTGCGTGGTCCCTCCACAATTTAACCGCCATGCCTAAAATATAGTCCAAATGGCGGACTCAATTTGTAGGATTTTTCCCCCCCAATGGGAGTGATAAAGTGGTGTTGGACCACCTCCGAGTTCCACGCAAGGATGTGATGCGGTCCACCTTAGTGACCTCTAAAATACCGTCTCGAGACAAATGGAGGAGGCATCAAAGTTGCAAAATAAATGTCAACTTAGCTTACGACCGCCTCAGAGTTGCAGCTGAAGACGTGACTTTCCAACATTGCATTACATCAAGCCATTTCTTGGACCCTCTTGTGGTGATTTGTCATTGCCGTGATATAAATGCCTGGCTTTTGGTGCAAAGAGGCTTTATCTTCACCCAAATAAATGATCAGCACGACTGCCTACTGTTTACCTTGAATGGCATCTTAGAAATGGCAAAATTGTTTGACTAGGCTGTAGAGGACAGTACACAGAACTGTAGTGTGAAACAATCAAAGCGATCCAAAATTTCTCACCTTTTGCCTCTCACTCACTCTCAAAGGCATTTGACAACAATAATGGTAAAATTATTCAAGTAGACACGTGTGCAGCGCTATGACATCGAGAATGGAAGAGGTAATCAAACAACGGCCTTGCAAATGACACTTTTGTTTTATTTGAGTGGCAGACGTCAAGAAGCACTCATGTGCATCGCATTGCGGTACACATCAAAGGGGAATTGTTTATTCAAGGCTATTTGATACAACTTGGAGTCGTATCTGCTTTTCAAACTGCAGGGTGAGGATGTCTTAGAGGGGACAAGTGTTTCTCCGCCTTCTGTCTCCTTTCGGTGATGTTCTATCGTCTGTTCGGGTTGTTATTGGCTGTGCCAGGACTTCCAAATTTGAGTCAGTTTACCGCTGTTGCTGTAACTGGCTGTGACGGGTGGAGGTGAAGAGGGGGAGGGGGAGTGCTTATTGAAGGGTTTAACCAACCACGGAGGACGTGCTTCTGTGAGGCGTAAGTGTAGGACTCAGTAGACAAAAAAGTCTGGATTGTTGATGCGTTTGTTACTGCATGTACCAAATAAGTTTTCCCAAAGCGTTGTGGCGGTTGAGGGTCCGTTAACAAAGGGAACAGGAACTCTTGACTCAGTTGAGTTTGAGTAGACAAGTGGGTGGTGTCGAGGAGGTACCAACCTCCCTTTGTTACAGTAATTAGAGTTGGACATTTGTGAAGCGTTTAAATAGCATTGTCAAATTATTCTATATTGAATGTGTGGTAAATGGGAAATTGTTTAGGCAATCAGTCGTGATTTTAGGAATATTTCATCTTCATACAAATAAAGGTGCGGCAATACGTATTTGTTTGAACATGGCAGGTGAATAGAATGGGCTTTGCTTAGAGGAGGAGGAGGAGG